ACTATATAGGGTAGCGTTTGCAGAGACCGCCACATGGAACCTTCTAGCTTTCTTGATTACTTTTTTCTCACAACATGTTGAAAGAAAAAAGTGAAGAAGAAAGAGGAAAGGAAAACGACCGAAAAGTGATTGTTAAAAACCAGGCCATATAGCAAGAGCTGGAAAAAACGAAAAAGAGTGAAATAATACCTGGGTGACCCGTTGCACTAGGCAGTCATCAGCGTAAATGCCCTTGTGGTCGCACTTTAAACGTTGGAATCGATTATCCTTTATAACCTTTAGGGCAATTTTGAATCGACGACCTGCCTTTTCCAGTTCGCCCATGACACAATCCGTTATATAAGGAATCGCTGAAAAATGGGAATACCAGGATAAACTTAACACGATTTGATATACAGTAAGGTATAATAGATTAAGTCGAACGACTTACTGTGGGCATAGAGGCAATCCCGAAATCCTTGAATTACGTCCAGCCTATTTTTTACTGCAAAATTAACAAAGTTCGTATCAACGAGTACGTGAAATGGAGGTCCGAGCTGATTATTAAACTTCAGGAACATAGCTGATGAAATTTTTGGACTGGAATTAATCAACATTTACAAAAGGATCGATTGATTGATAAAAGTTTGACGCTTACGCCTGTTTGATTTTCAGCTCTTGCTCATCTTCCTTCTTCTTGCGAATTATTCTGTTTTCTTCTTTTCTGAAATGTGTAAAAATTCGCCATAGCACTTCAATTCTCTCCAATTGCTCCATATCTTGATGGCGAAAACGACCTCCCTTGCGTTTTTGCTCATAAGTACAGTCTAAAAGGGATAAAACACTAGCCGGACCAAGCTTCATCCCACAGTAGCACGGGAAAGAATTGACGGGAAGAAAATCAGAAAGCAGTTTATACTACACGACCATGATCGTAGATGCCGCCAGACATGATGACAGGGAAACGGACTCGGGAAAAATCTGGATTTCCTATTTTAAAAAAAATTGTTCATCTTCAGATAGTCATCTTAGCTTTCGCCCATAATACTGGAGTTTTACTCGACTCGAACAAGGTTTCGAGTGGAATAAATTGGAAGCTAAGTGAAGCCGACCCAAAACGCGAGTTCGAGTGCGACTAGTATTCTTTAGGTCCAGGAAATTTTTCAGATGAGAGGCCTCACAATGAGAGAACAATAATTTTTGGAAGTCTGGTAGTAATACAGGAAGGAATAAGTTTTCCAACCCATCTCTAACAGTTTTGAACGCAGGGTTGATAGAGCGAAAACATTTTTAATCCCCAAAATAGTTCAGAACAGATCCCCGAACAAGTCTTTTCCATGTCAAATAGCAATGAACTTACATTCTGTTGTCAGTCATTTTCAACGTCTTGATTTTCCGTGAGAATTTTGCTGCCTTCTTAACACGCCCCATATTTGGTCATCAACAGTCGGCCAGAGACGAAGTGTGAAGGATTCAGAGAGGGAGTGACTTTCTACTAATTCTTTGTTGAATCACACAAAATGGAAAATCAGAAACCGGAACGAATAGTTGCAGAGCAAACATTATTTAGACGTGAAGTAAGAACTTTTGTTCGATTGCAGACCGCACACTGTAATATTCGTTTTAATCTATAGCAGGTTCAGCAAGTCAAGCACGATTGCTTGAAGTTCTAGCGGGTTAGAAGGAATACGAGTGTGTGGTTTTTAGTGAGTTGAGGAGAGAAGTACTACCTCCCGCAAGAGTGAGAAGCTCCTCGCAAGCTTCTGCAATCCTGGGCAAGAAGAGGGATCGACTGAGCCGATACAAACTTCCTGCTCAAAGTGCTTCAAACGCCTCTAGGTGTGTTTAAAAGCAGCTATACTGCAACGACACTCTTTTTTCTGTGTTCACACCTTATCTATGCCCGGTGACCACAAGTTTGTTTTGTTTCAAAAGTATCCCAGGAAACAAAACGGCTTTGTCACAGTGTCACGACTTTGACAGCATGAAAATACGACCAGAGAAGTTTTCGTCTCGGAAGTCATGAACATGAGTAAATTACTGGATTTTAATTTTTCTGGAGATCAGCCGCATTCACTGTTAGATTCCAAACTAGTACTTCTCTGATCGTTACTCATGAAGCAACTAATGTGGATCAATTTCTTGATTCAGAAAAAATAAGTTAAAGATCTTTCTTACTGTATGATTGTACACATCAATTAACATTTATTTGCTTTGGCAAAACAATTGTAAACAATCCTAACAATAGAAAGAGATCTTATTTGTTGTCGTTGTCATCCTTCGGCGTTGCTGTAAATAAAGAAGGGAAAATTTTGAGGATTGTCCTGTATTGCTGCTCTAAACTATAAAAGTAATTCGAGATATTTTCTGCTTACTCTTGAAACATTGGGTCCGCATGGCACACTCCATAAACGCTATGAACTGATCTCCACATGCACCCGCCTCCAATTCTTCATCTGTGGACGATTTCTGGCAGGTTACAGCTTCCCTGTAACAGACTTAAAGCTTAAGAATGATAATCTCCACTCTAAAATATAACAGTTAATAGAGGACGGCATGGGGAAGGAAAAAAGCATCTGTGACAGGAGAGATATCAGCTTCTCATCATATTTAAGATTGACTGAATTGTGTTTTCATGAAGCTGAAGGAACGGCGAGACAAAGCTAGAGCACGATAGCAGTATCGCAAAGTCCAGCTTCGAATATGAGGAAGACAAATCTTATTGGGAGCAGGGGATATCGCACGACGGCAACATCTTATCTTTCCGCTCATTCTAGGCAGGCGATGGAGATCCGTTAGTGTACTGGGACACTCAGACAGCTCTAACAGTTCTCTCCCTGGACTGAGCCCTGCTTGCTTCCCTTTTATTCTTTGTTAGGTCCAACGGAGCTGTGATTAAACGACAACCCCCGATTTTCGACTCACACACAATCACCCGAGTTGACCTGATCTAATGAGGTCAACGTCGAGAACCTCCCAAATTCTTACCGTTCGGTTTCATTCAGTCATAGGGGAGCTACACTAACCTGAATTCATATCCACACGGACTAGCAACAAGATGCCCGACACAATGGCATTCGAAATTGATAGTTCCGTCAGGTTTGGTTGGTCCTAAAAGTTATTTTCGGCAAAGCATGACTCTCAAACAGGAATGAAGCCGTTTTGATACCTGGATTGTTCGATGGGTACACTTCATTAGGATCCATATCAGCTATCTTTTGAATATAATCATCCTTGATCTCCTCCCAAAATTCACGCTCGGTGATGTAAAGCACCTGAACATAGCGATAGAAGCATTTGTTCACAAACACACAAACTGCCATGAGAGCTGACTCACCTCGTCTTTAACGTCATTCTTGGACATCTATATACGCATTCAGCTAGAACTGCTCCACTAAAAAGAACTATAAAGATATTTTCTAAGCTTGCATATTAATAAAAGCTCGTACGGCGTCTGGTCTGTGGTTGCGGACCCTGCTCCAAATGACGCAATGAGGTAAACATGTAAACTTCTGGAATGTATTTTCAGGAAGTATTTCACTAAGTGACTAAAATTATTGGTTTGCTTTCTGTTAATTACTCCAGAAAATGAATTCAGTTCGATCTTTGCGATCCTTGGGTGCTATTTATAGGTGGGTTCATGTCTGCCCTTTGATAAAGTTAATGTACGAAATTTAACCAATTTGTGGTCAAAATTACAGGACATTTTCAGGAATGCTCTTCCAATTACAAGCTATCGCTATTCTTCTTCAGCTAGAAACACTTTTATCAATTTCGTTCCTCAACAAGAAGCATGGGTGGTAGAGCGTATGGGAAAATTCTACAAAATCCTTGATCCTGTAAGTCTTCAGATTTTACTTCTCCATTGCTTCATAGTTTTCACTTTCCGTAGCTTTTGTTCCATTTAACATTAACCTGTTGTCCTCTGATCACACAAAAAATTTAAATTCATAGATTACCACGAGAACATAAAGCGGCTATTAGGAATAGGAGAGGATACAAAGCTAAAATGGCAGGTGTGGGTAGGGTAGGGGTAGTTTCGTTTTCCCTTCTCTAGTACGGTCAGCTGACTGCCTCTAATGGTGTATAGTCTATGTGTCACCTGTGGTCCCGTTGATTATCGATTCCCTCGAGCGGGCGCCAGTAGCGTCTTCATTCGTCCCTGTCGCGAGCCAAAGCAGCCCGCTGAATCGTACTCGCTCGAGGGATACAGGGCAAAACACTACTTCCGTTCAGAGCTTTCGTGAAGAAGTCTGACCATCGTGTCGGCGAACTTTACATAGATACTACAGTAATAGTATACATGTAAAGTTCAGTAATGTGAAACAAATTTAATCCTTACAACAAGGCAGAAATTTAGCTTCGTAGATCCCTACCCGTTGATTCAAATGACTTTTGCTTGTTTCTTCCTGGAGAAACAGAAGCAGGAGACTAGATGAGGAATTTGGGCAACTTCTCAACTTAGACTCGAGTATCTATTCTATAGCCATACATTTCAGTGCTTTGCTGAGAAATGTTTTATTTCAATATGCTGAGGCTATAGAAGGTAAATCGGTTGTTGAACTATAAGGTCCTTGCGAGATTGCTTCAGTATTGAAGAGGAAACTTATTTCCTCATAAAGTAGTGAAACAATGAGCAACAGCTCACTACTTTGTAATTTTTCACCTTCGTGCCTCTCATGGTTATACCACCGGCAGTACAAGCCTTCTCTATCGTATGTTAAGCTTATCTTTGTTGTGTTCAGGGTCTCAACATCTTAATACCGTTTTTGGATAGGATAAAATTTGTTCAAAATCTCCGTGAAATTGCCATTGAAATTCCACAACAAGGAGCTATCACACTGGACAACGTTCAACTACAGTTAGATGGTGTGCTGTATTTGAGAGTTTTCAACCCTTATCGTGTAGGTTTTATTCCAAATAGGTTTTCTCCGTGTAGTTTTGCTTTTTGGGATTACTTGCTGTATATAAATTTTCTTATCATTTTGCACAATAGGCTTCTTATGGCGTAGATGATCCAGAGTTCGCTGTTACTCAATTAGCGCAGACAACTATGAGGTCAGAGGTTAGCTTTCGAATCATTGAAGCATTTATATTTGCAATAACAATGATCTGGTTAGTTAGGCAAAAGTGTTCAGGTCGGAAAAATTAGTTTGGATACCGTATTCAAAGAACGAGAGCAACTTAATGAGAGCATAGTCGATGCTATCAATAAGGCAGCCGAGCCGTGGGGCATTAAGTGCATGCGATATGAAATCAGTAAGCCTCTTCATCTTCTGTCTTACATTTTCTTCCATTATTCATTCAATGAATTCTTCATCATTCGAATTTCAGGGGATATGCACATGCCCGAAAAGATCCAAGAGGCCATGCAAATGCAGGTACGTGATTCAGTTGATTGTTCGTAATCACATTACTGGGTTTTGTAACTACAACTTAAAATGTTGTATTGCGTTTTTAGTTTCTACATTTGTGACTGGTTGAAAAGTTTCTCTGTTATATAGCAAGTGGTTTCAATTAAGGTAGAAGCCGAGCGCAAAAAACGAGCAGCCATTCTGGAATCGGAAGGACATCGAGAGTCAGCCATAAATAAGGCCGAAGGAGAGAAAAGAGCTGCAATTTTGGCTTCCGAAGCCAGGGAAGCGGAACAGGTACTCATATTCCGAGACATTATTGTTTATGAGCAGTGCTTGTTTATTATGTAATGTTCACTATAGATGCAAGGGGCTCAAACTATGCAATCTATCTATTATCATTTTCCATTTACCTAAATCGAGTTGGTTTGACTAAGGTTATACCTCACAGTAAAAGAACAACAGTTATACTATTACATCATCATTACTTTTTTTACGTTTCTTTTCTTTTTGTTCAATATAACTGGATCTCTTTGAGTGAATATGATCCGATTCTGATGTAGATACCAATAGGTGGTGAAAAACTTTGTTCAGTTTCTTTCGGTTTATACTCCTTTATATTCATAGAATTCTATTCAGATTAACGTTGCTCGGGGTCAAGCTGAAGCTCTTCGAATAAACGCTGAAGCAAAAGCTCAGGCTATTGAAAGGATAGCCGCAGCTCTCAATCAAAAAGTTCGTTTTTTCATAAAAGATCGTTATGAATTTTGATATTTGAAAAATTGGGATTGGGTGGGCTGCTATACATCGCTAAATATAAACCACAAGTTTGATGTGACCATGTGTTTACCTGTTTATCTCTCATGTCTAAGGGAAGCATCACTGTGAATGAACCACGGTCGCTGTCGCTACTCTCCCACATGTCCTAAAAAAGGTACCGGGAGTTTCAGAAGGGGGTTTGACCTACATGGCGTTATGCTAACGACAAATGGTAGTGCATTCCGATACAATAGTGTGTGCGGAAGTATTACGGGACATACCTAGCGTTAATATTTCTCTCTTTCTCTTTCAAAAGAAGAAAGTTGTCCCTTCACATATTGATTGATTTACACTGATTCCAGGGTGGTGACGGGGCTGCCAG